AACTTTAGAAGCTGTTTTCTAAAGTCACTCATTGGTGGTCGCGTGGGTTCTTCACTTCTTGTTGCCATGGGGCATACTCTCACATGGAAAATTCTTCTTTACGTACTTGTGCATGATTTAGCATTCTCTACTTTATTTACTTTGGGATAGAAGTTCTTAATACTTCAACTATAGAAAATTGTTTGTCCATTATCAATCAGTCCAGATCCTAGGGGGAATTGTGGAGAAAAAATAAGACCCTTAGAGGATTTGAGGGACCAGATGCAGTTGGTATTATCTTTAATTCACGGCGCGGCTTAAGTAGCTTCTTTAGATTTAATTATAATCTCACTTCAGATTTTTTAACATTTCAAACTTAATTTAAGATAAATATTTTACACAAGAATATGATCTGAGAATATGTGTACTTGTACACATGCAGTGTTTACTTCTCAATATATCTGTTCGTTTCAATGTAAAGCTTTAGAATATAGCTTCGGTTACTTGACCATGCCACGAACAGTTTTAGTTGTCTGGTAAACTGCTGCTAATCCGTGACTGATTGAAGTTAGGAATTCATTGCATTCAGAAGGTGTTTAGTGGGACTATAATCGCAAACTTCTGTGTTAATGTAAAATTTCATTTTCATGGTTAACCTGTTTTGGTTTTCTTTTTTCAATTTCCTTTTTCCCCCTAGGATGACAAACGTTACAACGCGGGAAGAGGAGCTCACAAGAATTTGAAACGAGCCGAGAAAGGAAGAGTGCTGGTCACCAAATTACCTGGTGAGCTTTTCATCATGCCCTTAATTTAGCCTTCTTTGAAATTAAAATTTGAATCATGTTATAATGCTCATGTATACTATGTTCTTTAGAATGGAAAGAAATCATTCATATGTTTATACTGGCATATAATTCTTCTATTTGCCACATAATTGAAAACCTAATATTCAAGGACAATGAAATACCAAAATCAAGTTAAACCATACCATTATGAATCCTCCATGCATGTATATTCAGAGGAACAAGATGTACGAAGTTAAACCTTGTTGTTTGATTGCTAAATGTTGCATGCATTTTCAATATCTCTTGTTCCTGATTACGCCGGCTTGGTTGTTCAGCGATGGTTGAAAATCTGGCTGCCAAAGTTAAAGCATGGGAATCAGAAAGGGGAATTACTTTCTCATATGAGAAGGTAAGGAACAGGAAATCGATTTTGGGCTTGAATTGTGCTTGGCTTACTTGTGACCTTGATTTTATATCTTGCAGCTTCCCCTTCTATATACCTTGGAGGAGGACGCAAAGTTGCGGCTAGAGAGAGAAGAGGATAAGCGAAAATCACGGGTAAAGATATCGTCTTCAATACCTCTAATATAATTTATCACCACCCATCAAAAGTACCCGAGTGTTTTACAAACTTCTCATTTTCTAGCTAGTTCCATGTGTTAGGGAGCTTAGAAGTGCCAGGTTGAGTGTTGAACAAGAACACAAAAGTTCCCACCCCAATCTGAGGAACCCTATTGATCCAATCGAATAGGTTGATTTGATTTAGCTAGCCACAATTATTTAGTTCTAACGAAATAAGTAACCCTATTGATCTAATTGAATAGGGCTGGTTTGATTTAGTTAGGCACAATTATTTAGTACTAACGAAATGGAATCAAACTGACAAAAATTTAAACCTAGACGTAAATCCTTAATCAAGGAGCCAAACATTCGAATTCAGTTATAAGCTATCATCAATATAATTGTTTAGGCTAATTTTAATTTAATAGAGAATTTCTATAACTAAATAGCGTGGATAAATCGAACCGAACCAAATCAAACTAGCTGTACCATCCTAATATTATCTTTTGACCAAGAAAAAAGTTAGCCCCTTGGTATTCTAACTTGAAACAAGCATTGTGGTAAAAACAGGAGCAAAAACGGCTGCAAGAGCAACTTGCATCAGAACAAGAGGCACTGTATGGATCAAAGCCAATAGCTAAGAAACCATTGGGTCAGAGCAACACATTGTTGGGGACTCCGGGGCGGCGGATCGGAACTCCTGGCCGGTATGGGTTTTCCGGCAGCAAAGATCGGAGAGAAAGTGTGAGAGGACCTAACATAATACCAGTCAACTATGTTGCTCTTCCAAAAGATGATTCAGCTTCCAAAGGAGCAGCTTGATGAGCAAGGCCAGGTTATACATTCTAATTCTCATTGTATATCATTCCTTTGCTACTCATCATCAAAGTCATCTCTTGCTTTACTTCTTTTTTCTTATTTTGTTGCATTTCTTATTCTTATTGCATGCTGCAAGGTGGTATTAATCATACTACATTACATGTCTGACTCTCTTGTAAGTGACTGATACCAACGATTGTTACTAACCATGAGATCTTAGAGTTGTTTCTCTCTCCCGTGTAAATAGTCTGTCGGAGAGGCATTTCGCCTTATGTTACAAATAGAAATATCGACTCAATAGGATTTTAAATGTCAACATAGACACAATTGTTGATATTTTTATTTTATAAAATGTTGATGGAAATATCGGTGTAAAGCTGATATCTCAATTTCGAGGATGGAAACATCGATGAGAAAAGTTTAGATGTATATGTTGATGGATACCTGTAGAACATCATAAAAATAAAATGCTCTAAAAAACAATTAAACTATGAGATCTCTCGTGAGCTGAAGAGGGGATTCAGTAATTCCTTTTGGTTATCACCTTGTTTTAATAGATCTGCAGATCAGTGATTTTTTATGGATTGCCATTTCAAGTGTGGCTCCCATTGGCTTTCTTATGTCAGGATATAGATCCAATAATAAATTTTTTTTAGGTGATTCGTTGATACATAAACTTTTTTTTTTTTTTTTTTTTTTTTGAAGAAAAGGGGCGATGAATAGATATCTTCATTTTTGTATTCTTTATTCAGATTAATGAACTAAATCAGATAGTTATATGAGTGAAAGAAAACATCTTAGATAAATAAAAAAGCATTCTTTATAAAGATTTGAAAACCTCTCCTAACCACTTTTTAAAAATCTTGAGAAGTTCAAAAAACAAAGCTAGAGGACAATATTTACTAGTAGTGAGTTGTTATAGGTTCAGTTCAACTCAATACATACGAACCAAACCAATTCATAAAGTTTTTATGGATCAGGTTGATCGAGTTTTTTGAATCATCTGATTTTTTTTAAGTAACTCTAAATTCGATCGAGAAAATCCATTCGATTGAAAAATAAACATAAAAAAATAGACCCATGCATAAAATTTTATATCATTTTAACCCATTTACTTCTTAATGGTGGTGACATGGCTATAATAATAAAAAATAAAAATAAAAAGATGCACCATAATTAAAGTGGTGTGTTTGGTTAGTATTAATTAATTAAATAATTAAATAATTATCAACTTAAAAGTAATCCAATGGCAACTAAATAACATAAAAAAAGACCTTGAAATGTTATATAATATAGTGCCTATCTTTATGTTTATATGAAATGATGTGGCGAAATGTCCATGAAAATGAAGTTTATATTATAATAAACAATTTATTAAAAATTCTTAATTTTTAATTAACAATAAAACAACTATGGAATTATTGTGGTAATTCAAGCAAAATAAATAAATAAAATAAAATAAAATAAGATTTTAGTGTGGTTTGTTTGGTCATTCCCATGATCTTAAAATCCATTATTGAGTTGCTTTATTTATTTTAATTTTCTTTAAAAACAATATTTATTAAAGTTGTAAATTTAGTAATTAGATAAAAATATTTAAAGAAAATCTACATAATTATAAATATTACAAAAATAAAACTACCCATTTAAATATTTTTTAAAATTTCAAAATTATTTGAAAGACTATATACTTTAAATATAAAATTTCAAATTAAACTAAACCTTAAAAATTAAATTTATTATAATAATTTTGCAGTTAAATCCGCCCATGGGTTTAGGAGTAATTTAATAAAGATAATATATAAAGTAAAAAAGTAAATTATTAAAATTGTATTGATGTATGATTGCATGCAATTAATTGATACGAATTTTAGGATTTTAATAATAATAAAAATAAAAATAATAATATTATTAAAAAGTGTGTCAATGTTGAGTCCTCAACTCATGTTTTTATATTATTTTATCCATTGTGTGTGTTTTTTTAATTGCTTCTTTCATTTTCACACCTTTTTTTTAATTAATTAATTTATTTATTATTATTTATTTATTTATTTATATTATTTTAATTAAAAGGGTGTAATTATTTGTTCATAATCATTCAAACGCGTTACAGGTTTTCACACTATAAGGAATGCTTCATTCCTCTCTCTAATCAAGGTGAGATCTTACAATCCACTCCCTTGAGAGCCGAACGTCCTCGCTGGCACACCACCGGTGTTTGGCTCTGATACCATTTGTAACAGCCCAATCCCACCGTCAGCAGATATTGTACTCTTTGAGTTTTCCCTTCCGAGGTTCCCCTTAAGGTTTTTAAAACACGTCTCTTAGAAAGAGGTTTCCACACCCTTAAAGAATGTTTCGTTCCCCTCTCCAACCGACGTAGGATCTCACAATTTACCTTCCTGGTGTGCCAGTGTCATTGCTGACACTCGTTCCCCTCTTGAATCGATGTTGCCAGCGTACAATGTTTTTGATAGTATTGTTTTTTTATTTTAAATACTAATAATATTATTATTTAGGCAAATCTTTGGGTAGATTCTTTGAGTCTAGAGTTAGGTTTAACTCCAATTTCTAATTTTAAATCTATTAATCCATTAGGTTCACTAAAACAATAAAATATTTTTTTAAAAAAATTATGACATTCTCTTGCTATTATGTCATTTTTAATATATTAATAATTTCTTTCTTTATTAAATTTTTTTTTTTAAAAAAATTTAATTCGAATGATATAAATATGATTATTCGTAAGCAATCGGATAAAACTAAGAAAGAAATCGGGACATAGACTTAACAACTTATATTAATTATATATATTTATTTTTGTCACGAGTACAAAATATTTCTACAAAACCCAAGAACTCAAACATCATAAATATATGAAAATCATGCTTTTCATCTTAATACGAGTAGATGCTTGTAGGGATCGAACGCTTTGATTCTTCATACGAAACTAATGAATGTTGGGTCGGGGTTCTGCCTTATCATAAAAGTAGGAGTTGGGTAAAGCAAACTCTCTCCTTAAACGAGCACGGGGCGTAATCAAGTAGAACTGGGTTGCGTTGCTTTAGATGGCCTACGCCAGTACGACTGAATAAAGGTAAATCCTTCCCCTACGACACCAAAAACCAGGCTCGAACTTTGACGAAAATACCCCTCCCCAATGCTAAATCATTCTCATGGGTTTTGGTTCGGCTTGATGGGGCTTTCAGGGTCGGGCATGGAAATAATAAGTGAATTCGAGAGCTTATTAGGTTCGAGATTTAGATTATTATTATTATTTGGTTGAGAAGAAAGCTTAATTGCTTGTGGTAATTTATGAGCATCATCATCAGCACTTTTGGTCTCCAAATTCTCCTTATGCTTCCCCCATAGGACTGAATATAATCCAAATACTATCAAGATGGATCCTATTATTCTGTCACATCACAAATCATATAATTTTGTTAATAATTAGGGATTTAATGATTATATATATATATATATATATATATATATATATATATATCGCTCAGAAATTTGAACGTATCAATGCAAGTAATAATTAAGTTCATATCGTGTTCTCTTTAAAACAAATATAGACTCGAGATAGTTTCAAGTTAAACAAAAAAAGTGATAGTTTCGAGTTTGTCTCGATTTTATTTAAAAATTTTCAATAATACTCATAATACCCTCATCGTTAGTACCATGTTTAAAAAGTCATTAATCTTTATTAAAAAAAATTTAAAAATTTATTACCGTCCATATATGAACGAAAACTATCTATCTATACCTTATAGATCATATTCATCGTCAATTTTAAGAATATTTTTTTATCTTTTTTAAAGTTCTTAAAAAAAATTAAATATAAGAGTATAGTTTAAAAAATATAAATTATATATATATATATATATACACTAAGAAATAAAAATTACTTTAATTTTTCTATAGTAATTTTTATAGGATAGTAAAAAAACAATCCAATATAAATAAAATTATTTTGATAAAAAATAATTATAAATTATATATATATATATATATATATATATATACACTAAAAAATAAAAATTACTTTAATTTTCTATAGTAATTTTTATAGGATGGTAAAAAAATAATCCAATATAGATAAAAATATTTTGATGAAAATATATTAAAAAATAATTATAAATTATATATATATATATATACACTAAAAAATAAAAATTACTTTAATTTTTCTATAGTAATTTTTATAGGATAGTAAAAAAAAAAAAAAATCCAATATAAATAAAAGTATTGAGATAAAAATAATTACTTACCCTCCAAGGTAAATTTTTTCAGATAGGATGAAAGAGCCCATGATGGCTACAATGATCATCATCAAAGGGCTAAATGCTGTTGCAAATACAGGTCCTCTCTTCTTCATCACCAACCCTTGTACATAATATGAAATACTTGACGTCACAATTCCCTTAAAAAAAAAAAAATTACCCGTTAGGTTAAAAACTCGAGACTCGTAAACCCTAACCCTAATGTGCGTGAACCGACAATCTCGATAATATTTTTAACCGAAATGTCCCTAAGGGACCTTTACGTTAAATATGAAATTATCGTATTGGTTCGATATCATGTTATTGTGACGATAAAGATTAGTCGGGTTTGTGAGAGCGGGTCGGGAGCTTACGGCGTAGGCGGCAGCAAGGAGGTTCATGTCCCAACCAATTCTCCAAACAGAAGCTTTGTGTTCAGCTACTACAGTCACAGCTATGGCTTGTAAGGTCCCCATAAAGCATACTAGTGTGGTGAGGGTTAGCTGGTGGTTCATGTATGTCTTCAATGCCTGATTCTACACCCCGAAAAAGAAAGACGGTCAACGGTTTCGAATTGATGTTACGAGATCATTCTTTCGAAATAGAAAAAACCGTCATCTGGGATTTTAAAACTCGACACTGTACACTTTGTAGAACTCAAATACGTCGTTTATATAAATCACGTTTCATTGAAATAGAAAAAACCGTCATCTGGGATTCTAAAACTTGACATTGTACACTTTGTACAACTCAAACATGTCGTTTATATAAAGCTCGTTTCATTGAAATAGAAAAAACCGTCATCTGGGATTTTAAAACTCGACACTGTACACATCGTTTATATAAAGACCGTTACACGGAAAAACAAACCGAAACAAGACCCAGGATCAACCTTTTGAACCAATGTTAAGAAACCATTTGTCTGAAATAGAAAAAATCGTCCTCTGGGATTCTAAAACTTGACACCGTACACTTTGTACAACTCAAACACGTAGTTTATATAAAGACCATTTCATCGAAATAGAAAAAACCGTCATATGGAATTTTAAAACTCGACACTGTACACTTTGTACAACTTAAACACGTAATTTCATCAAAATAGAAAAAACCATCATCTGGAATTCTAAAACACGGCACCGTACACTTTGTACAACTCAAGCACGTCATTTATATAAAACCCGTTTCACCAAAAAACAAACCGAAACAAGACCCGGGTTCTTTCCGGGGCTAATACCTGCAAGACGAAAAGAGAAGACCAAGCAAGAGTGGCAATAATGAGGAAGATTGAGCCTTTGAACCAATCTTTATTGGCAGAAGCTTGATCATTAGAACTTGTGGGAACATGAGAGTGTTTAGACCAAGCCATTTGAATCAATGGGCCTTTGTATAATGTCATCAGCATAGCACCAACCACCGTCACTAAAGTTCCCAAGAACTTGGCTTGGCATCTCAGCTTCTTCATCTCTAATTTTTCCATCCTTGTTCAAGAAAAATTTTGAATTTTCCATCAAAATCGAACAGAAAAATGAGAAATTTTTAGGTTTTGATCCAAAAAGAAGTGAATGTTCTTGGATTTTGATGTTTTTGATTGAAGTACCTGAAGATCACAGCCATCACGAATGTCATTGCAGGCAGCATGTTGCTCATGGCACACGAGAAAGTTGGTGAAGTGTATTTCAATCCAGCATAATAGAAGTTTTGATCGATAACAGGGCTGCAAAAATTGTAAAAACAATGAAAAATATTGTAAGTAGTGTTTGTTTTTTTTTTTTTTTTTTGCATGATAATGAGTTTAGCTCTTATTAGGCTGTTACAAATGATATCAGAGCTAGACACCGGGCGATGGCCCAACGAGGAGGCTGAACCCTGAAGTGGGTGGACACGAGACGGTGTGCCCACTGGACCTCGAAAGGGGGTGGATTGGAGGGTCCCACATCGGTTGGAGAGAGGAACGAAACATTACTTATAAAACGCGTAAACGCATTTTAAAATCTCGAGAAGAAGCTCGAAAGGGAAAGTCTAAATAAGACAATATTTGTTAGACGTGGGCTTGGGCTGTTACGTATCCTAACCCTATTTGTCTACACTCCTATCCAAGAATTTTTAGAAAGCGTGTGTTAGTGTCGTGTTGTGACTTCAGAATATTTGATATTTGAGTTTTATAAGATTTTAGTTATTAATGTGATATGTACTGTACAAAAAATTAAACAACCCGACAATTCAATCCAACCCAACTTGAAAATAAAGAGTTGAGTTGGGTTGTGAACACTACCTCGGTTCGTTCGAGTTCGAGTTAGTAAAAAAAATTTCCTCAATAGAATCCAACTTAGCTCAACCCGTGTATGTCTCAAAGTAAAGAAAGTACTCACCCAAGCAAAGCCAACACGAAGATTTGAGTGAAAACTTTGAGTGTTATTTTCGGTTGTTCTCTCCTGAAATCGAAGTGAAAAAAAGTATAAACGACAAATATTCCCGACCCGCAAGTTCGAAAGGAAAAACAACTTCAACTATCGTAATAAACGACAAATAAAAGCGTTTTATTTTCAAAATAGAGTCGAGAAAACTTCGAACGGGAAACAAGAGGACGTTACCGTTCGAAGAAGAAAGCGAAGGGAGCAATAGAAGCGGTAGCGAAAGCGTGTCGATATACGACGAGAACGTAATGGCTCATCCCTCTACTAAGAGAGACTTTGGAGATGATGTTCATGCCAGCATATCCAAATTGTAAAGATATCATGGCAAAGTAAGGCTTTGAATTCTCAACAAAGCTACTCCAACAGCTCAAGCTTAGCTTTCCCATTTTCTCGGGAAAATATGAACTAATTTTCCGGGAAAGTAGAGAGAGAAAGAAGTGATGTGTGAGAAAGTCTATGTGTTTCTTCCTACACAAAGCTCATATTTATAGCCTTCTTGAGGGAATCTTTTTCCTTCCTTAATTAATTAATTAATTAATTAATTATTTATTTATTTATTTATATGACCAAACAAAATATAAATTTTTGCTTACGATGTAATTATATAAACATATATTTAACACAAAATTTTTAAAATATATATTGAAACGCCAATTTCTCGTTCTTGCTCAGTGTGTTCATCTTTCATTGAATGCTTCGAGCTATTGGCTTACCAAGCAGTTGCCCGTTGCTCCTACTGCTTGCTTGGTGGGCTCTGCACTGGACCCATTTAGTAGAATTTCGAAGAAAGACGGTTGGTAGCTGAGAATTACGAAGTGAAATTTGTTCATTCTCAACAAAGCACTTGACCCGTTCTATTCGTTCAGTATAATGTTAGGTTCTTAAAAAATGTCAAAACTCGATCCAATCCAATTTGTTTACGCTCCTAACTTGTATTGTAAAAATTACGAAAATACCCTTACAAACGAGATTGGAGAGATTTGCGCTTTTAAGATATTTCTATCTCATTGTTCTTATTCTTTGATGACATATGAATTAATTAATTAGTGGAAAATAAAAATAAAAAATAAAAATAAAAATAAAAAGGTGAAAATGAAAATAAATAAATAATTGAAGAAAATTATTGTTGATAAAGTAGAGACGTGAGGGAGTGAGAAATTGATTACAATGAATGTTGGGAATATGAAAAAAAAAATAAATAAAATAAAGGTTAAAATTTTTGTTTTTATTTAATTTTTTAATTTAAAAAGTTATATTTTTTTTATAATATAATTTATTAATACTCTCCTCCCAAATCCTCTCTAGTGGATACTACTTCATTTCCTCTTTCTTTGATACCCACTCTATTTTTTTTTAATTTAAAATTTCCCCCTAATTCTCCTCGTGAATAAAACAAAAACCCGATCTCGATCCGTTCATATCTCGTTTGATAATTATTTAAATTTTAAAAATTAAATTTATAAATACGGTAACAACCCAAGTTCATCGAAGGGAGTGGAAGCGAGGACTGGCCCCATGGAGGTGAATCAGTTGGAGGGAGGAACGAAATGCTAGACCGTAATGAGGGGGATTGTGAGATCCCGTATCAGTTAGAGAAGGGAACGAAGCATTCTTTATGAGAGTGTGAAAACCTCTCCCTAACAGACTGCATTTTAAAAACCTTGAAAGAAGCCCGAAAGAAAAAGCCCAAAGCGAATAATATCTACTAGTAATGGGCACGAGATGTTACAAACACTATTTTTATTTATTATTTGTCGAGATATATTTTTTTTAAATAAAGTTGATTTCTTATAATGAGTCCTTAACTCGTTTAAAAAATACATTCCTATTAATGACTTCGTCCTCATTCTAATAGGTTAACTCTACTCGAGAATCATTTAGAAATTAATTTCAATCACACAAGGATAAAAATGTAATTTACCATCATTCGACTAGTTAAAGTATTAATAATATATTTTTAAAAAGATTATAGATTTCCTTAAAAATATTTTTGAAACCTTTTAGAATATTTTAAAATAAATTATTAATAGTTTCCCTCCAAAATGAATTTGTTTTTATTAATTTAGTTTCTTTCTATTTATTTTCACAATAATAGAATCTTGTAATAAGAAAATAATTATTTAAAAATCAAAATATAATCTAATAAATTAATTTAAATATTAAAAAACACTAAAAATGTTTTTAAAAAAATTAAAATTCTTTATTTTCAACATTTTAAACGTTTAAAAATGTTTAAATGAAATTATACATATAATTATATATTATTTTTTTGCATAAAAAAATAATATTAAAACATATAAAACAAATAATGGAAGGTTCCAAAAGAGTTACATTAAAAAAGGGAGTGGGATACGCATCATACACCCAACACGAATCCTGCTGGAGCTCAAGTGGATAAGAATACAAATTAATAAATTAAATAAATAAATATCTATTTAGTCCCTCTAATTTTAAAAAATTACATTTTCATATTGTTAGTCCCCAAAGTTACAGAAAATATATATTTGGTCCCTTAGTTTCTAAAAATTACATTTTAATATTTAAGATTGGTAAAATAGTTTTCTATTCACGGTAAAAAAAAAAAAAATTTAACGGTATTTTTAGTCCCTGAAGTTAGGGTATTTATCTATTTGGTCCCTCAAATTCTAAAAAATTACATTTTGATCTTATTTGCAAAATAATTTCTAATTGAAGGAAAAAAATATTTTTATAAATGTGGTCCTTAAAAAAACGATTATTGATATGCACAAAAAAGAGAAAAAAGAAAAGATGACGTGGCAAAGATGTCGTAAGATTATTTAATTTTATATTAATTTTTGGGTGGTCGTACGATGATGTCAGATTCTTCATTTATCCTCCACCGTCCTCCTATTTTTAATGTTACAAATTAAAAAAAAAAATATATATATATATATATATATATATATATATATATATATATATATGTCTAGATCCACCGNAAAAAAAAAAATATATATATATATATATATATATATATATATATATATATATATATATGTCTAGATCCACCGCTAGCCGATACTGTCTTTTTTGGACTTTCCCTTTAGCTCTAAAATGGGACTTCTTCTCAAAGCTTTAAAGCGAGACTTTCCCTTAAATCTTTAAAACACGTTTGCTGGGGGAAAGTTTTCACACCTTTATAAATGGTGTTTTGTTCTCCTCCCTAACCAATGTAAGACATCACAATCCACTCCCTTCCATGTGAGACTCTTTCCTTCCTCCAATCGATGTGGGACCCCCGTCAAATCCAAGACGCTAGCACTCTTTCCTTCCTCCCATTGATGTGGGACCCCACCAAATCCACCCCCTTTGGGATCCAGCGTTCTTACTGGCACATAGCCTCATGTATACCCTCCAAACGATGTGGGACTCCGCCAAATCCACCCCTTTTGAGGCACAACGTCCTTACTGGCACATCGCCTCATGTCTACTCCGTGAAGAAACAACAAGAAAGTTGACAAATCGTCCAGTGTCTGGTTCTGATACCATATCAGTACAAAAAAATCGTTAAAAAATGTTTTGATATTACTACTTTTTCAGTAAAAAAAAATGTAAGCACATATAAGATTTAAGCTTTTAGAGATGAGTTATACTCAATTTGATTAGTATCATTTAAGAATATTGTAAAGTCCAATAAAATTTAAAAATATTAAATTTTTTTTGTGGCGCACGTAAATAAAAAAAATAATATATATTAAAAAAAAAGAGACTAATATCAAATTATTGGGTTTCTATATGGAAGGTTGTTGGTTCTTAGAACAACAAATAATGAGATATAAGAATAAATGCCTTTATGCAGCTACTCGATTCTAAAATTAAAATCTAATATCACAAAAAAAAAAAAAAAAAAAAAAAAAAATATATAACCACGTGGATTATTATCTATTTTTTTTAATTTTTAAAAGTAAAAATTTAAAATTATTTTAATTTTATTAAAATAGTTTTTAACTTTTTTAAAATTAAATATATCATATTATTATTATTATTAAAAAAAGGAAAACCATTTTGTAATATATTATACAATGTTGGTGACGTAAGCCTATTCTTAATTGTGGATAGATATCAAATAATTCCATTGGTATTTATTTTTGTTCCCCAAAAATATACACACAATAATCAATTTTTTTAAAATTAAAAAACTTGTTAGTGGAGATGATTCCAAAATAATAATAAAATAAAATAAAATTATAAAGTGGAGCACTAAAAAGAATATTCCTAAAAGGAATATTCCTCAATATGGGTATCTAATCCTCCCAAATAATTATTCATTACCTACTAACAAAATGGATTGTGATTTATAAAATATTGTTACTTACAGTAATAAACTTTTACCAAAAAGTAAGTTTTTTTTACTAGTTTAATAGAAATAATTTTAAATTAATCACCGGAACTAATTTAAGATTTATAAAAAATATAGAGACTATAAAAATGTATGTTTTTTTGGATCAAGAATATAACTTATAAATTGGTAATAAAATGATTTTCTATAAATTAATTTTAATGTAAAGAATAAAAAAATTATGGTGTTGTCTTTTTATTATTATTATTATTATTTTCTTTTTCTAGAAGGTTGTGTCTATATCTTGGTTTTGGTTTTTTATTTCAATCTCCATTCTTACAAAATTTTTCATATATTTTTGCAAAAATCGAGTCAGAAATTTCTTGAGATAATTTGTAAGAATCGGGTTTTTCATGAATTTTTTTTTCAATTTTTTATATATTTCAAAGAAAATATTAGTTTTTAAAAAATTAATCGATAATTTCACCCAAAAAAAACATCCACGTCATTTTTTAAAATTCTAATTTTAATATTACACTTTACTAAATGAATAAAAAAAATTATCTAAAATAAATTATTTAAGATCCATAGATATTATCTAAATTTGGCCTACTTACAATGTTTATTAGCATATATATATATATATATACTATTATTATTATTATTATTATTATTATTATTATTAAAATATAAGTAGAGTCAAGGGAAATTAGGAACTATATTAATTTATATAAATATATAAATTTAATCCCCATGTTTTCTATGACTTTTGTTTTTCTTATTAATAAAATAATAATAATAAGTGAGCATATTAAATAGAAAAATTAAATAAGCAAGTCAACGGACATCATTTTGACTTAATTTAATAGATAAAAATGGATAATTTGATTTTTTTACTTTGAATTATGTTGAAAGAAATTAAATAATAACATTAATATTATTACAATACTATTACATTCTACATATATTTATTTATTATCTAATCGCTAATTTTTAACTATTTTGGAGGTATTTTAAAATATATATTAAAATTGGAGAGTAATTCTTAATTAAATATTTAAAAATAAATAAATAATTACTTTAATAAAATAATTCTAATAAATACTCAAATAGCTCAAATCAACTCAACTAAAAAAATTTAAATTTATAGTTGGGTTGAATTTAAATTTTATAACCCGAAAAGTTTGGTTGAGTCTAAGAAATATTCAAATATGACCCGACCCAACCCGTGAACAAATCTAATTGGTTACTGTGTGTTAAAAAAAGAATAAATAAATAAAGTAAAAACGATAATTATATCTATAAGTTTAATTAATAGAAAAAATAAAAATAAAAATAATTAAATTGAAATAACACCCCCGTCATGAACTAAATCATATAATTAAAAAAAAAAACTAAGAAAATGAAGCAAAATAGTCAACATATGCATTTAAGAAAATAATACATTTACAATAATTACAATAATAATAATAATAATTCAAATTAATTCAATCGTGCATGCCATAACGAATTAGCTCTTCTTATACGAACTCTCCACCACCGCGTGTTTACCAACAACCCATTTCTCTGTAATTATATCGACAAAAATGGCTGAGCCGAGAAAATTCTCGTCGCCGGCGCTACAATCGTCTCCGTCGCCGCCGCCTCCGCCTCGGCCAGCAATTTCACTCCAACCATCTCCAAAACGATCAGGTTTTTCAAAACCTACAAAACTCCTCCGGCAAATCCGTACAGTTTTCCGTACGCTCCCGATTCTGTCGCCGGCGTGCCGATTTCCGATCAACGGAAGTCGTCTCCACGACGGCCACGTCCACGGCGGCGATCGGATTACTGGAACGATCTTCGGATACCGGAAATCGCGAGTGAATCTCGTGTTTCAAGAAAGCCCTAGGTGCCTGCCGATTTTAATTTTGGAATTGGCGATTCCGACGGGGAAACTCCTCCGGGACATGGGGGTAGGGCTCGTTAGGCTCGCCTTGGAGTGCGAGAAGCGGCCGTCGGAGAAGAGGAAGATTCTGGAGGAGCCGATTTGGACATTGTACTGTAATGGTAAGAAATCGGGATATGGAGTTCGGAGAGATCCGTCGGAGGAGGATCTGAAAATTATGCAGACTTTGAACGCGGTGTCCATGGGCGCCGGCGTGATCCCGGCGGAGGATGCGGCGGAGACGGCGGACGGCGATCAATTGACGTATATGAGAGTGGATTTTGAGCGGGTGACTGGATCGAAGGACTCGGAGACGTTCTATATGATGAATCCTGAGAGCAATAATGGCGGTGAATTAAGCGTGTTCTTGGTTAGAATTTGAATGTGAGATTTCAATCAAGTGACGGCTATTAAGCGTGTTCTTGGTTAGAATTTGAATGTGAGATTTCAATCAAGTGACGGCTATTAAGCGTGTTCTTGGTTAGAATTTGAATGTGAGATTTCAATCAAGTGACGGCTATGATACCATTTGAACCTGTGAACCTGTCCTGTCTCAATTCAGTGACTGGCTATGATATTATAGACTATGATACCATTTGAAACTGTCCTGGCTATGATATTATTTATAACAATTTATATCTATGGCTAGCAGATATTGTCTATTTTGACATGTTATGCTAGCAGATATTGTCTATTTTGACATGTTATTTTGTAACAATTTATATTTACCGCTAATAGATATAGTCCATTTTGACCTATTACATTTCATTATCAGTCTCACGTCCATTTTGACTTGTTATACATTTCATTATCAGCCTCACGTCCATTTTGACTTGTTATACATTTCATTATCAGTCTCACGTCCATTTTGACTTGTTATACATTTCATTATCAGCCTCACGTCCATTTTGACTTGTTATACATTTCATTATCAGCCTCACGTCCATTTTGACTTGTTACATTTCATTATCAGCCTCACGTCCATTTTGACTTGTTACATTTCATTATCAGCCTCACATCCATTTTGACTTGTTACATTTCATTATCAGCCTCACGTCCATTTTGACTTGTTACATTTCATTATCAGCCTCACCTCCATTTTGACTTGTTACATTTCATTATCAGCCTCACGTCCATTTTGACTTGTTACGTGTCATTATCAGCCTCACATCCATTTTGAGCTGTTGCATTTCATTATTAGCCTCTCACACCGCTAACTTGTTACATTTCATTATCAGCCTCACGTTCATTTTGACTTATTACATTTCATTATCAGCCTCACGTCCATTTTGACCGGTTGCATTTCATTATCAGCCTCTCACACCGCTAACCTATTACATTTCATTATCAGCCTCACGTCCATTTTGACTTATTACATTTCATTATCAGCCTCACGTCCATTTTGACCCGTTGCTCTCACACCGCTAATAGATATTGTCCATTTTGACCTGTTACATTTCATTATCAGCCTCACAATCTTAAATGTATATGTTAAAGAGAAATTTTTACTCTCTAATAAGAAATATTTTGTTCCTCTCCAGCCCATGTGAGATCTCACAATCATACAAAATAGATTCGGGTATAATGAAATGTAACAGGTCAAAATGGACGTGAGGCCGATAATGAAATGTAACAGGTTATCAACTATCTCAACAATTTAAGTGAGTGATTTGTAAGTTACGTCTTCCAAATTTTACAAGTCCTAAACTTCTGAAGTACAAGTATAAAAAAGGTATTTTAACCGAATGACAGATACATATATGAAGTACCTAACAGATTTCAAGGGTACATATAATATATAAATAAACCTACATCTTGTAGTTGTTCAAGGAAACAGACTTGATAAGGTTGCCAATCAAGAACTATGCAAATGAGCCCTATGACTCAAAAGAAAATTGGTACAAGTGCTCGATTCGGTTAGGAAGGCACGAGTATGAAGAGTTCATAGGACCTTTTTATGAATCATCGACGACGAAGTCGAGATTTTGACACAGCTATTTGTTTGAGCATTTCGCTCATTGTAGTTCAACTTTAATTTAGGTTTGATGTTGAACCAGAAATGGTTTAAATGTCAACAACGCTCCAATGGCTTCGATCACATTTAGAATGAAGAAAATCATATGGGAACCTGGAAGAGATGAAACATGTCAAATCCTGAACTAATCTTCTAATAATAGTGTGAAAAGAATAGGAGAAGGTCATGGAAGAGAGATTAAGAGCACACGGCACTAGTACAAGTTTTCAATGATTGGTAAATGTCTGCTTTTAATACTCATTTGAGGTTCTTTTGATTTACCAAAGGAGAGGTATGAACTGCAACAATGAAGTAATTAGAGAAGTGTTTTTGTTCATGCAACCAACCGAACACCATAAAAGTCGACAAAGCGCACACTAAAATTTGGATCGATAAATCCTCGCATGGACTAAATATCTTCCCTGAGGAGTGGGAAGATTCGAATATCTGACGTTTTGGTCAAGGATACATAAGGCTTAAGTAATTGAGTTCAACACGTGGAAGTGGGAAGATTCGAATCTTAAACGTTTTGGTTAAGGATATGTGAAGCTTAACCAATTGAGTTCAACCTGGGAAGTGGGAAGATTCGAATCTTAAATGTTTTGGTTAAGGATACGTGAAGCTTAACCAATTGAGTTCAACATGTGGAAGTGGGAAGATTCGAATCTATGATGTTTTAGTCAAGAATACATGTGGCTTCTTAACCAGTTGAGTTCAACACGTGGAAGTGGGAAGATTTGAATCGGTAACTTTTTGGTCAAGGATACATGAGGCTTAACCAATTGAGTTAAACACGTAGATGTGGGAAGATTCGAATCTCTAACTTTTTAGTTAAGGATACATGAAACTTAACTAATGGAGTTCTGGAAGTGAGAAGATTTGAATCGATAACTTTTTGGTCAAGGATACATGAGGCTTAACCAATTGAGTTAAACACGTAGATGTGGGAAGATTCGAATCTCTAACTTTTTGGTTAAGGATACATGAAACTTAACTAATGGAGTTCAACAGGTGGAAGTGGGAAGATTCGAATCTCTAACCTTTTGGTCTCACACGATCGCTTAACCACGTGAGCAGGCCTCAAGAAAGAGAGAAAAAGGGGCAGGCTTTAAATTCTCCATATATACATTTCATGCAATAGGAGAGGGCAGTGACTATGGCTATGTAGAAGAACCAGAAGTTTGAAAGTTATTAATATTAAGTCGTGAGATTGTCAGAGAAGCAATTATTATTCAACTACGTGGAGCTATGAAAGCAAATGGCACGCCTCAACACACATGTCCTATTATGAAATGAATCTAATGCCTTCTTGCAAATTAATATAATACAATTTAAATTTGAATGATTCACTAATAAGAAATAAAAATTTAACTGAAATGTTTTAGAGTGGGGAGGAGGATGCAGGTGAGAGAATTAGCAAAAAGAAGATGTACCTGGGAGAAAAGCTGCATTTTGACGCTTCTGTGACCAAGAGAGTCTGCATAGAGAAAGATTACTCAAAAGCTATAACAGTTGACGCAATAATTATTTCCATTTGCCCTAAACATCGACATTTTCAGCCACAGTTTTTTTAATCCATGAGTGTTCAGGCCACACATTCTTTGACTATTTGCACCGCACACTTGCCTAATCCTACTACAATTTATTGCCGGTATTGCCGGTATTGCCGGTGTAACTTGTAGGAGTTTAAAAACTAGGTAAGATGACCACTATAGCTTGAACCTGTTCTCTCTAAGCTCATTATTAAACATGGCTCATGTTGACTACTATAGCTTGAACCTGTTCTCTCTAAGCTCATTATTAAACATGGCTCATGTTGACCACTGGGTGATAGTTTTTCAATGGTAGTTTTTGTAATAGTCCAAGTCCAAACCCAAGCCCACCTCTAACCGATATTGTCCTCTTTGGGCTTTCCCATTCAGGTTTTCCCTCAAGGTTTTTAAAATGCGTCTGCTAGGGAGACGTTTCCACACTCTTATAAAGAATGTTTCATTCCCCTCTCCAACTGATGTGGTGGGGGGTCCCACATCGATTGGAGAGGGGAACGAGTGCCAACGAGGATGCTGGTCCCCGAAGCGGAGTGGATTGTGAGATCCCACATCGATTGGAGAGGAGAACGAAGTATTCTTTATAAGGGTGTGAAAACCTCTCCCTAGTAGACGTGTTTTAAATACTTTGAGGGGAAGCCTGAAAAGAAAAGCCCAAAGAGGACAATATCTGCTAGCGGTGGCTTTGAGTTGGCTTTGAGTTTTATTGAAAAAGAAACTTAGTAGCAGTAACACAAAGCATCCAACATTTGACATGTTTCATGGCCAGTAAAAATAAGACTGATTATCAAAGCTTGTATGTTTGTTTGTAAAGTTAACATCCACATAATGTGGAATACACTTACATTGCACCTCCTGCAGCTGGGCCAATTGCCTTGAAAACAGACACTGCTGTCATAGCAATGCCATTAGCAGCCCCTCTTTGGCGTTGACCCTGTCCACAGATAGTCGCTTACTACATCAATCCAAGCTCTTTTGCATGATGGAAGAGAAGGAAAGAGAGGAGGAAATAAGGGAAAGGCAAAGATATTATTACCACGGCTCTGTTTTGTATGATGAACATACCAGTTATAATGGAGACCTAAGAACACATGAAAATTTAGATAGATCAAGCAAAATTTTAATATTATAAGGCTTATTGCTTCTCCTCAGACAAACTTAATATGAAAATTTCAAACTTTAGTTCAAAGATTTCACATTAATACACAGTACCAAGCAATCTTCATTTCATAGACTGCATATCAATGGAAAGGAAGAGATTCAAGTTTTAGTGCAATACTTACAGAGAGAAGATTCTTCAAGGCTGATGCAAGAGTTGCTACAATGTGAAGGACAGGTCCTGACAACAGAGACAAAAATGGATACATTGCCAGCAGAGGGATAGACAATATCTGCAACATATAATGTATTTCGATGTGGCTTTAAGACTTAAAATGATTTCCACTCAGAATCAAAGTTGAAAGTACATATAATCTTGATATCACAAAAGTAGTCATTCAAACGTAAGACTACAGAGTGATAAGCCAACTTACCCCACAAATACGAGATACCATTATAGGTCCAAATATCCTCTCCACAGATGGATATAAAGAAGACTGAAACACAAAAACGCTGAAACCTAAAAGCAAGTAAACAAAAGTTTGCAGCACAATTAGTTGAAATAAATTTGTATTACTAGATGTATACTAAAGAGTGTGATTACTAATATGGAACTTTGAACAGGAAACACTATAAACCAATGCACGAATGCAGGCAAGAAGGTGCAATCTGCCAGGGTGGGGTTGTGGAGCTCTGGATCTACCTGTGATGGCAAGGACTTCTCCGACATCCCCAGATGTAAAGCTCAAACCACCAAGCTGACGAGAACTGACAGCCCAGAGTGAAAATATCTACACAAAAGAAGCAAATGGTTCATATTGCGAACGTTAAAAGCTTCAATCCAATCCTTCTATAATGTTTGTCCTTTTTTTAAAAATTGAACTCATTGTTACTCAATTGTTCATGAAGTAAGAAGAAATTTGGTTCAAGAAACTGAAAACAT